AAGAAAGAAAGAAAGAAAGAAAGAAAGAAAGAAAGAAAGAAAGAAAGAAAGAAAGAAAGAAAGAAAGAAAGAAAGAAAGAAAGTTTTAACTAACTACAGGCCCATATGAAATTTTTGTTTTGTCAAAGATTCTTGAATCTCTTGTTTGCGATCAACTAAAAGAGTTTTTATATTCTAATGAACTTCTCTCAAAACTGCAATCAGCCTTTCAGAAAAAAGCACAGCACCATCACTGCAGCCACAAAAGTGATAAATGATAAAATTGTTGCTCTTGATCAAAAGCAGTACTGTGCATCTCTTTTTATTGATCTTTCAAAAGCTTTTGACACTGTGGACCATGCTGTCTTAAGTACAGACTTTTTTTGATTGGGTGCGTTTTGGGTGCTTTCATGTGATGAAAGATTTTCTTTCTACTTCTTCTGTATTAGTTTCTTAACATAAATAACATTAGATTTATCATCTAATGTTGATAACCACCAGATCATGTGGTTTCCTGGTTGTCAAATTATTTAAGTAACAGGACACAGTGTATTAAACATGCTTTGTGTTCTGATTTTATGAGTGTACACAAGGGGGTGCCACAGGATTCAATCTTGGGTCCCCTCCTGTTCATTATGTGCATTAATGAATTAGGAAAAAATGTGTCAGATGCTAATATGCATTTTTATGCCGATGACAATTATTTACCGTTTTGGATTGACTGTAGCTAAAGCTGTTGTTAACCGTTCCTGCTCAATCTGCTGACCGTGGTCGGAAGACACAGGGGAGATGTTTCTCCTGGGCCGAAGTTTCTACTTCGGGGTTAACTCCCTCACACGCCTTTAACATGAACCATGGGGTGGCACGGAGATGGTTGAGGTTAACTTCTAATAACTCCAGCTAACAGGTGAAAGCTGCACAGACTTTTCTTACAGCCGCTGCTCCGGTCGTCATCTTCACACTCACTCCGCCTCACACACACACCGTCTCTCTCTCGCTCCTCAAGGACGCAGGGGTTCTTTTAGTATGCAGCGCCCCCCTTCAGACTGGAGGATGACTGCCACACATCTCTTGCACCCGCACAACTCACTAGCATCACATACAGTGGAGGCACTTTCCGCAACACTACCCCCACTCTGGATGGCAATTAAGCAATAATTCCACTCCAGCCTTACAATGCATAAAACTGATACATAATCCCTATAGCTAACTAGAGATAACTGTGTCAATCATCCTCACATGGGTGAGGTACAGCATCGAATCACATATCCCAGTGATATAATTAGCTCATTTAAGGAGTACCTACATGTGTAAAATTGGACTTTGCATGCAAGAGGATGTAAGAAATGACTCAGCAGCATCTATGACGACCGGGCAGGACACTAACTGAACTCCATCAGGTATGAAAAACATACAGCAAAGCATGTTCTTGGAAATAAACCATTTGCTTTTCAGCTGAATTTTCTTTGCAGTTCGAACAACTGAACAGTAATAAAGGAAACAGTCATATGCTGCCTTGTTGAACAGTTTTTGCTAACTCCGCAGGACACTAGAACAGCTGGAACCTTAAATTGAGTCTATGGTCCTACTTGGGACTATCCATGTKCCGTAYCGGTCTGGTGCTCTACGCCGGCGCCTAGATCGTCGAACCGRCGGGCTCCGAGAAGGTGAATATCCCACCTCACCCCCACCATCTTCATGACTGACATGGGAAGGGGAGGATGGGACAAACACTCCCGGATTGGGATCCTTTGCAGTTGAGGTAGACAGCAGGGAACAGTCAGCGCCCCCAC